GAGCACAGACACTCACCTTGCCAGACTGATCCTCGCCCTCTGCCCACCACTCAGGGTGACACCCCTCTCCCCCACAATGGTCCTGTCACCGTGGGGTAGCAGCTGGAAGTCCCGTTCAAGAGCACAGACTCTGACCACTTGTCTGTATCGGTTCCTGTCCATGGGCTGCCCAAACAGGATGTTCTGCCGTACAGAGCCTGTGAACAGCCAGGGCTCCTGCGATGCATATGATACTGATCCACCCACAGAGATGGAGCCACTGTTGAGGGGCAGTTCCTTCAGGATGGCATGCAGCAGTGATGTCTGCAACAGTAGCACACAGTCTTTATAACATCAGCCTGTGTACCAAGCCCCCAGCACTGCTCATTACATCCCTTTTCCTACAACACAACTGCAGCTCACCTTTCCTGAGCCGACGGGTCCGACAACGGCCACAAGTTCTCCGGGTCTCACATCCAGACTCACATCTGTCAGAGTGTTCTCAGGCAAGTCCTCACTCCACCTGGCTGTCACATTGGCAATCTTGATACCCTTCACATCAACAATGTCATTAACATTTGTGTGGTCTTCTGGTGTACATGTATTCATTTCCACTTCACTACTCTTTGCTACCTGCATCTCAGTTCCAGTTTCAAGAGGTCTGTGTTTACCACCAACTGTGAATGTGGTCATCATACCCTTGGCAGTGCAGCTACTTGCAGTGGTCACTTCATCGTACAGAAGGAATTTCTGTGGCAGTAAAATCAATTTTATAGAAACTGAAATATGTTAATATCTTAGAGCATAACAACACTATTCTGTTTCTGTGAAGACTGTCTCAAGTAGCTGTTAAAGCTCTCTCTCCATCAACATTTATCTGAAGACTTTGAAGCATAAAATTCATTTGAATAATACAAATAAAAATTCACTTATCTCAAAGGAAACATGCTGTGGTTCCATTACAAAGCTCACATGGTCAATGCTTTTTAGAAAAAAAAATATTTTCTTTTTATTATGAGAATTGTGCAAACGAATAAATCCTCCATGAGTAAAATGCAGAGTTGTTTTCAATGTTACGGCGGGTGGTGCACAGAGCGATCACTGTTTTTCATATGATTAATATAAAAAAACAACAATAACATGTATGTATTTCTGTATCAGATCTGCCTGGTTCCACCATTTCAAAATTATGCCACACTACTAGCACAACACAATCTGCAAATCAAAAATAACTTGTTCTGTATCATGAGCTTAATGGCGAGGAATGAGAACATACAATACAAATCCTATATGACCAGCCTCACATCTTATCAGACTTCACACATATTTCATGAAAACATGGAACACTAACTGCTACCTGCATAGAATATTCAGAAAAACAAACCTGGATTCGTTTAACAGAGACAGCTCCTTCTGAGAGATGCGCTATTGATCGAGGAAACTGATCAGTCATTGCCTTGTTTATGATATTCATAAATCCAGTTATCACAAACATCTGCGAAAAATGAAAAATTACAAACATATTTAGAGTGATAGCTGTTATTATGAGACTTATACATACAGACATGTCTTACAGAACAGATAAAAGGAGGACAGATTCTACAAAAATAACAGCGCAAAGTCACTGTCAGGTCTAACAACACCATCATTCCACACATGAAGTGTCTAACTCAAACCAAACAAACTAAAATTTTAGTTTTAACAGTAAATGCCTGACATCTAACATATCAATACAATGTGTGATACAGAAGAGACCTTACAAATCAAAATGTGGTAGCATTTATGTCAGGACACTTTCACTCTCCCCTACAGCCAACTTACAAGAAAATGACATTTTATGGCCTAGTTTGAAATTAAACCTTGTACTTGTCATCACAATAAATACTAACACTTCACTTGAACCTGCAGACAGACATCTATTGATACATAAAGTTTTGAATTTTCCAAAGAGGGAAATGAGATACAGCTTTAAGTGGGCAAATAGGAATGGTAGGCAAGAAAACAACCACCTTTCAGACTACAGTGTTATTTTTGCCACTGAAAGGAAATGGAATTGAGGAAATGTGGCCCCCATCAGAGCCATAACATTCTTTTGTGCAGCAGGAAAAACAGAATTATGAGAAACTATAGTCCTTTTCAGGGCCACAATAGTCTCTTGCCACTGCAGGAAAAAGGAATGATGAGAAAACATGGCCTTCTGTAGGGCCACAATACATATATTTCTTTTTGCTACAGGAGGAAATAGAATTATGTTCAATGACAACCCTTTTCAGGGCCACAATACAGCCCTTTGTCACTAGAGGCAGAACAGAAATTTGATAACTGTGACAAAAAAGCATGCTGAAATGCTTGTTTTCCTGCACATCATTCCTACCGGACTGGGCTCCATTTCTTTCCCTCCTCCCATGGTTCTGGGTGAGTGCCTCCCTTGCAACATGAGTATATAATGCAAACAAATTCTGACACACTCACCCTACACACTTCAACCCTGAACATGGAAGCAGTATGTCACTATCTGGCCATAACACTACATGGTGTCACAATCCAGAGGAGCACATCTGAACAATCACCATCAAGACAACCTCTAAACCTTACATGTTACCTTGTATCCCCCCAGCTCTCTCGCCCTTCTTGAGAAGCCACCAATTGTGCAGCTACTCGAGAACTTCCCAGCATTTTATGGAACCCAAAGGTTCATTATTGTGTTCACAAGAGCCCTCCACTGTTCCCTATCCTGAGCTAGATCAATCCAAGCCATACCATCCCATCCTGCCTCTCTAAGATCCATTTTAATATTGTTCACCCACCTACACCTTGGTCTTCCTAGTGGTCTCTTTCCTACCAATATCCTATATGCATTCATCTTCTCCCCCATTCATGCTACATGCTCTGCCCATCTAATCCTCCTTGACTTGATAATTCTAATTATACTTGGAGAAGAGTACAAGTTATCAACCTCCCCACTATGCAGCTTTCTTCATCCTCCCATCACTTCATTTCTCTTATATGCAAATATTCTCCTCAACACCCTGTTCTCAAATACCTTCAGTATATGTTCCTCTCTTAATGTCAGTGACCAAGTTTCACACCCAAACAGGACCACATGCAAAATTATAGTTTTGTGTATTCTAAATTTTGTTTTTAAACAGTAGATGGGAAAACTAAAGGTTCTGGACTGAATGGCAGCAAGCACTACCCAAGTTCAATCACCTCTTAATTTCCTCCTGAATCAGGTTTTGATTTGTTAGGGTCGTTCCAAAATATCTGAACTGTGCGACATTTTCAAAAATATCTGTTACATATCTTTATGTCATTATTTTCCTCTGCACTCTGATGATGAGACAGCAACATATACTTAGTTTTCTCTGTGTTTACTTCTAGACCAACCTTCTTATTCCCCAGCTCTAAGTAACAATTTTGGTGTCTAGTTTCAATAAATCACTGCTTCACAGAATTCACAAATTTGCTATATTCTTTCTTGCCGCAGCATAGATTGCCATTACATTCAATGATGTGCATGTACTTACAGCTTTAATAAATCCAGCCTTTACCATGGGTGGAATGAAACTGAAAGATCAACAAATTTACCGATGCAGTCCCAACAAGCTCATTCTTTGCTCCATTTCCACATACAGCTCTCTTGTTATGGAGAAGTTTTGCAGACAAGACTAATTGTTCTTTACAAATGATCTCACCTTCTCAGCTGTGACTGTATTTCCAAGTAGAGCATATGACACTATAGCAATAAATATGGCGATCTTTGTTGAAAACCTGCCAAATGACAACAGCAACCCACGCACATAGAGGGCAGCTCTGATTGACTGGATTTCATGTCTGGAAAGTAAAACATTAAAAGCCTATTGAGTTGCTTCAGGGTAATGAAAACAAGCTAATTCTTATGAATATCTGCAATAAGGAAATGCATTTAGACAGATGTGCTGCTGCTGCTGGAACAGATGGGGCCAAGGACTATAGCCTGCTGAAGTACTGCGAATTCCTCTGGTTATTATTTTCACAATGATTCTAGGACCTGAATAGGCCCATGGAACATTGATGCTTCAACCTTTAACCTCTATAATTTTCACACAACTTCTTATATCGGATACATGGTCTAGTCCTTCTTAGAACCTGTCCTTCATATCTTCAGTTTGATCCTCTGCTGGGCCACAAACATTCCAGCGACCTCTTCGTATTATGTATGGCATCCTATCACTAACATACTCTACCATCTTAACTGCTGATATGATTCTCTTATGTTCAAAAAAAACCTGTACCTAATTCATGATTTTCATTCCCCTTTCCATAGAAAAATGTATATTTGCCTGCTAGTTTGGTGCCACCTCCGTCCCATCTGACCTCCTGTACTCCTGTTAAATCTTAAGATTTCTTCTGCCACTGCCCTGAGCGAACCTGCCCTATATAGACATCCTACATTCCATGTACCAAATTTCATGTCCATTTTCCATAGCTTGTCGTTTATCCAAAGAATCTGTTGAAGTTCAAGGCCCTTTGTGACATTTTGTAACAAAATTATTTTTTACTGTGAGTTGTTAGCCCCATGACAGACTCCCAAGCTGGAGGACCATCCATTGTTGGCTGTGACTGCTTATTCAATATATTCGCATCTGTCCTCCATATCTGGAGGCCATTTCTTCCATCTGCAACCTGAGGACGTGCCATATCGTGGTGACAAGGGATCCACTTGATGTAGACAGAAATATAAAGGAAGGCATAAAAGCCATGATTTTAGTTTCCAGATTCAAAGCAGAATCACTGACTGAGCATAACACATCTCACAGAATTGGAACTGTAACATTACAGATGGCTGCAGTTGGACAGACTGAGCCTGAGCTATAGGTGTCATGTTCATCGTGGTCAAATTGTGAAGAAATCAAACTGAAAGGAAGATTTTCACAAAATAAATCACAAAATGAAGAGTTTAAAAGACATCTGAGGGAGCCTGCTGTTCTCATAAAAAGAATCCAATGACATGGTGACAGGGGAATATATAATATTTCCTTCAATTGGCTCCATTTGCACAGCATCGTTTAGGGGTACCAGTGACCCAAGCGGTTTAGCTGGGTGAGAGCACTGGATGGCAGAACATGTTGAACACCTTGTACTTCCACATGTAGGAGCTTCAGATTAACTTGGTACATGTGCATCTCTTTTCTGGCCATGATATGTGAGAATATGTAGGACAACCAATACACTGCTTTGATGAATTTCAGGTTCAACAAGCTGTGAAAAAGGACATGGCCCTAAAACTATTTCTTCAAACACTGGATGACAATTTATGAAAATATTTTACTGAAAGGGATGGGAGGGGAGAAAGGTAAAACTGTCCCTGTGCTTCATTAAACACTATACCTTGAAGATATATGAGGAAGTGAATGCATAGTCCACCTCCCCTCCCTCAGGAAACAGCCCCTGGTAACCATTGGATACTATGATGAGTGGGCCCCACTGAAAATGGATCTGACATAAAAAGTACATTTTAGTGCAATGTGAAGACATGGGGGCTGCTATAAAATGTAATTATATTGAAAAAATGTTAAGACTACAGGAAATTATCATTCTCATCTGTATTCTCAAAATTTTCTCAGACTCTTGCTTCGAACTGAAGAAGTAAGCCTTGCAGATGCCCAAAGAATATTCTCCAAATCAAAGATCAAAATGGTAATACTGATCAGCATTTTAAGGGTTCTGTACAGACTAAAGAAAAGAGCACCCCACATGGAACTTGTATCTGTTTGCCTATTAGAGACTTAGCATCAGGTTCTAAATTTCCAGATTTGTTTTTTTACATTGGTATGGGAGACTTCAATAAAAGTCGTTATGCAATTCCAATTTTCATGAATACTGACTCATAATAAAATGTAACCACTAGGACATAAATGTACAAGGACCATAAAATTCCCACTATACAATATAGACTGTTGAGACCTCCCTTCAGTGACATATTTCATGGCATCATAATCTCGTTTAAATTCCAAAAGGGGTAAAACTAACTACAGACAGTCAAGCTGCACTCATGAGGTAGTTCTCTGGCCTTTACATGTGCCTATAAGTCAGGCTCAATTGTAGTACAGAAAATGCAGAGAGCAGATCTTACAGCATCATGACACATAACGATCTGCTGGAACTTACCTGCGAGCCATGGAAACAAGATGAGCAAATGGTTTCTCCCAAGCATACATCTTGATCACCTGCATGCCAACAATTATCTCATTCATGAATCTGACTCGCTCATCTGTTCGCTTTGCAGTACGGAGACGAAAAGTGGACAGCATCTTTCCAAAAAAAGCTACAAAATTACAAGATTAATCAACCAACGTGACTACCATTAGTACCAACCATTTAAACAGTGCCTCAAAGGTTTGCTGCTTACTGAACATAAGACAGTACTGTATCTGACTCAATCTCATGAGCTATGTTTCACACTGCATGTTCTTCCAGTGTACATTGGAATAAACATTCCTTTAAGGAAACCACTATTCCTTTGACAAACTTCATGTCTTTCACTGATTAAATAGGAACAGTATTTTCCACCATCAGAATAAGAATATCCTGAACTGCAACATGCTAACATTAGATCTGTGCACTGAACCTGTGAGTTTCAATTTGAGAACTCTTAGAAAAACAGACCAGGTGACAAGAATCCATCACAATGTGTAAAAGCATACACCACGTAGTAGTATGTAGTAGCATGTGTAAGGGGATGGGCCATAAAATCCTTGCACTGCGACCTTCAATGATCTACTGTGCTTCCCCTTTCGATTAACTCTTTATTAATCCTACATTTCAAATGAAATGTAGGACTTTATTTATGGGGGTGTCATAGCAGTGACAAAATCTTAAATAAGCTATAGCCTCACAATCACACAGGATACGTGTGTGGATGATTCGTCTTCTTGTAAGCACCTTTCACAGGATGGGTCATTTGTCAATCCTAGTTTGAAAAGGTGTCCTTTTAGGTGTCAGTGTCCAAGCACACACCATCTTTCCAATGGACTTCTAATTTTGAAAATCATTAGAAAAATGTACGGTGTGAAATCGGCCTAGGTTTATTAACCGTATACTTCAGTGACAATAATCTTCAACAGAAGGGATGTTAGTGACAACTCTTCTTCTGGTTCCTACTGCAGATTCTAAACTCAGCAGTTTTATAAAATTCTTAACCTTGCACATTACAACTAAGCAGAGCATGTAGACTAGGGACAGATTCAGGAGAAGGCTGATGAGATTTAATATTTTTACAGTGCTGAAAATTAAGACTGCTCTTTTCTTGGTTATGACATTCTGTAGTTTTGTGGGTGGTTACTAACATTTTAGCAAAACCCACTGCTGCCTTCTTCAGAGCAGAAGAGACCTGAAGACAGAGGCAGTTAAGTTTCCCTAAAACATTGACACCCACTCACAACAAAGAGGTTTGCAACCTCAAGAGAAGGCCGGTTATCTTAGGACAAAAACCATATTCCACGAATTTGTTACATCTGTAGCATACTGGATTTTTTAAGGACACTTGAAGACACAATGCATATCAAGGCTTCAACATCACTTAAGGATATTAAAATGCTGACAGAGACATTTTACACAAATACAGAACACACTATTAAGAGGTCATATATTTGTGTTTATACACAGTAACTTCCAGTTTTATGACTAACATTTTCTTGGCATACACACCTTGCAGAGGAATGACAAGCATAATGGTGGCAACTCCAATAACTGCAGCAAAACCAATTTCTCGCCACATCAGATATGATATAACAAGTGTCTGCAATGGGCCAACCCACAGGTACACAAAGAAATTGGCACTGTAGTCAAACCGGTTGACATCATTCGACATGAGATTCACTGCCTGTCCCACGGTTGTCTCCCTGAGAGCTGTCTTGCTCAGCCTTAGTGCCTAGAACAGAGAGTTCTAAGTTGCAACAGGATTCAAAATATACTGGACAGAAAAAGATACAAACTGGCATGACTGAAATAAGTTCAGGAAAATTCTCCAGCATGAAATTTCATAAGTATGCATCCAGTAGTTCTGAAGTTACTTCATGAGTATGCGCTACGAGGCAGATGGCAGGAACTCAACAGGTACTCTGCAAGGCTGTAACTGCGACTAAAACATGCTCCACCAAGTGCACAGCACCGCAGAGTGCTTCCATGTGTTATGAGGGTACTATTCATCAAGAGCATTAACTAACATCTCTATTTACAAGTGCTGAGATACTCCCATGATGCGATGCATTGTAAACGGCCACAAAAGTGGGAATCCAGTAAAAGGCATGGCTTCTTAACAGCCTCTCAACTAATCAGATATGGCTCCCCACAGTCAATACACAGAAGTCTAAGGCTTGCTGAGATATCTTGATTCTGTGTCAAACAGAAAGCTGGAGTACCAGTTATGGAATGGATGCCAGGTGGCAGTGGGAGAGAGAACCATTTTCCACACCTTCCTCAGTCTCACTTTCTTCCCGCTCTTTTGGCTGCACCCCCACTGCTTATCATTTTGAAGCCCGGTTCACACGAGTTTCTGTTCAATACTTATCACAACACGCTTCCTTTTACACCGACATTTTGCTAATGTACTTGAAGATCGATACAAAGAGACTAACTTGGGCGGTCTATCTGTCCTTGAAACTTTCCACAAATTCTTGCATTCTTTCACCCCTATCCTACAACATTGTGTTAGCATAACAGGACCAAAAAATGCACAGCTCGTTTGACACTAGTGCCAAAACAGTGTTACAACTCACCATGTGAAACAAAAGTGAACGAATATTAAACAACATATAAGCCTCAAAAAAGCCCCGGTTAAGCTGCAAACCGGTTTATCCGCCCCTGGATAATTGAGAGTTGAGCGTACTTAATTTATGTTTGTTACATGATACATTTCACTATTTTTGCATGTTCACTCCAGTATGATTATGTATTTAACTCTGAGGAGTGCAAGAAACTTTTGATGACAACTGAGACAAGACACCTTATACATAACGGCAGCCTTTCCATACAATGGTTGTGCCATTCTAAGTGCAGAAACAGTGGGCATATCATATGATAACCTTCACTTGTGAGCCTCTGCCATTAGGGTTTGCTGTGATAGGAGGTAAATATGGGCAGCTTATTCTATTTCAATTGCATCTAACATGCACTTTGAGATCCTTATCACTACACTCACACCACAAGGACATGGCACCACGAATTTCAAGACAGCTTGGACACAGAGGGGACTGAATACCTAACACCAAATCAGAGGCAGTAGATGAAAACTCCTGACAAAACAGACAAGAAGGAAGATGACATAAAGCGCTCTAGCTCCAACCTGCCAAGGAGTGTACAACCAAGGTCGACCAATGGGCTAGTCTGGTGTGTCCATAACAACACAGATGGCAGTTCTGACTATGAGTTGAGTCCAATCCCACTTGTACTGTATATACACAAAAACTTGACTGTATACAGTGTCCTTGTGTTGAGTTCTGCAGCTGTTATCACTTTACTGGTGGAGAAGACTAATCAACACTACCATCAACACTTTCATGGGAGTCAGTAAGTAGGTCACAACTGGAAGCAGAACACCTGTAATGGACATAACAGGTTTTCTATATGTATCACTAGGTAGCAGCACAGTCCAGCTTCACGAGAGTCTAGGTCACAGATGTGCATGCACATGTTCAGAGGCTGGTTTCAGTAGTCAAAATGGTGACCATGCTCAAAGAGTCTGCTACCAGAGAGCAGCATTCTGTTGTGTATTGTTTTGGGCAAAAGGACTCAATGCAAAGGACATTCATAAAGAAATGTTTCCTGTTTATGGTGGAAAGTGTTTGTTGTGAAAAGTGGTGCACAACTGTGTCACCCCACTGAGACAGTCATTTCATAGCAAGAACCTTAAAATTTGAAAACTATTAATTAACATATTCCTCTAGGATAAAAGGAAATGAGCTGTAAGTAAACCATTCATGACCATCTTAATTGTTTACTGTCATGTGTTATTAAAACAGATGGTCTATTACAATACCATACTTCCATAAAATTTTTACCCTTAAATGCCGAGCGACTAGTCAGTGGGTAATACATCATGTGGAAAATCAACCTAACAAACAATTCAAGAGAATATCTGGATTACAATCCTTTGTCTTCTTTATATTGAAAGTATTCGTTTATAGAGTAAAAAGAATGATGACATAAAAACTTCTTTAATGTAAATTTAAAGCTTTTCCCATCACTGGCCAAAATCTTTATTGATCGTGGAAGATGACTGAACACGTTAATACCTGTTATATAAAATTTTGAAGTATTCACACTAGGTACATGTAAATTACCTTGGGATCTAGTTGTATATTCATGAATCTTGTTATTAAAGTTAAATAAATATTTATTATTAATTATGTATAAAAGTAATGAGTATATATACTGTGAATATAATGTCATAATTTCCAATTTCTTCAAAAATATCCCTGCAAGAATCTCTACTCTACTGTGTGATATACTTTATTGGGTGTTAGTTACTGGTTCTTAAAGCATAAATATGATTGGAATCTATACTTGCCTTCCTGTACAGGAGGGAGCACAGGGAAACTCGTATCTTCATGCCAAGGTGGAACATCGCCAGCATGAATGACTGCCTGACAATCACATTAGCAGCTGAGCATATCACAATGGCAGCAGCATACATGAAAGCTGTGCTTCGACTCACGCTGCTCTCTGGTGAAAAATACCGGATAAGTCCTCCCACAAATAGGGGCTGAGTGATCCTACATATTAAACATAAAAATGCATCACATTTTCATGAAAGCACATTTTCCTAACAGGCCTTATAAGTTATGAAATCTGTGTCAGTCCAAAGAAAAGCCAAATACGAAGGACATAAAACAAGATCTAACAAATAGGCTAGTCAAACATGACAACATGATGATGCTGTATTCACAAGAAGCTTATTTCAAATCCATCAGAATACTTGCTACCTTGACAGGTTTATCATGGTCATCCTCTGTTCTTCTAGGCAAATGCCAGGGCAGTATCTTGATTAGGCCATGACAGCTTCCTTGCAAATCCTTTGCAATTCATCATTTATCAGCCTGCGATGCCGGCAGTGTCATTAATGAAACCATATTCATAATTATTTCCAACAGAGTCAAGTCCCTCTTGAGAAGCCAAAAGTTGTTCAACCACTCATGGAATTCCCAGCATTTTATAGAACCTGAAGGTTTCTTCCCCTGTTCACAAGAGTCTGCCACCAGTCTCTATCCTATGCCAGATAAGTCCACACATCCTCCATCCTCCTTCTGTAAGATCTGCTTTTATGTCATTCTCGAACCATAAATATAAATAAGATTATTCAACAAATTCACATCTACCCTCCATACCTGGATGGCAGCTCCTCTGCATGCAACCTGAAAAGGTACCATGAGATGGGATGTAAATGGCTCAGGACATCACCAAGTAACTGGCTTTATAATGAAGTTTAATATTTCAAAGTACGCAGTCAGTCAGTCAGTCAGCAAAGTAGTAAACTAGTGACACCATTGTTTCAGAGCCAGTAGGATGCATCTCACTGGTGGACAATGCTTGCTGGCAGGGTGGAATGTGGTCTCAAAAATAAGGACTTCCATTAAAGATCAGTAATTAATGTAACTTAAGATGTACATACTTGTAAAGACACACTTCTTATCAAAAAATAAGAGAAGGCTTTGCTTTTACTATGGTGGGAGTATGGTCATCTGATAAAATGCCAAGTGGATGCAAAAGGTTGAGAATCGCTGACTCAGACAACAAGAACATGGGAATGCCATTACTCACTTGAAAAGGAGCTCCTCAACAGCTAAGACCAGACCGAACAGGATAACTCTGAGACCAAAGCACCTTCTGAGAACTCTGAACAAACTAGGTTTTCCATTTCTGGCATTTGATCGCTCCAGTTCCTGATCCCACAGCCTGAAACACACAGCAAATCAGCAATGAGTACAAAGTCATTTTTATTCTGGACATTATTACACTGATTCATTCTCAGAAAACATACTCCTGTTGTTAATCTTATGAAGATCAGAGACCACATTGACAAGGGTACATCACCAAGACTGGAACAGGACTGGGAAATGTCAGCATGGAAAGCGAGCTCAAAATGTTCACAGGGCCAGAAGGATTATGCCATCATACAGAGACAAAGTGCAGAGGGGCTTGCAATGTAGCATGAAGCGGTCTCCTCCTGTGTTTCACTGCTGGGTGTCGTCAGTCTATGGTTCAGGCTCACAGGGGCCAGGACCTCGAGAGTTTTGAACTTACTTCATGGTACAGTATTCACTTTCTTTATTACTGCAATACCACACTAATTCGTAACGTTCCTGTACAGGTACAAGACATACAAATAACTGCCATTAACTGGATACCATTATGTGCAACTTGGTGTGATTGGCACAATTCTGCATATCTTTAAACATGTTGTGTATGCAGGAATATGTCCCGTATTAACTAGAAACATACATCTCACCTCTCCACCTTGTTTCCCAGGTAATCTGAGCGATGTTCTTCAAGGGTAGAGTACAAGTCCTCTAGTTCCAAGTCTTTCTTAAAGCCCTTCTTGAAGGTACCCATCAGCCAACTGAGAAAAGTGAAACTGAACAGTTCTTAATCTGTCTTAATGCTTAGGCCTCCATATGCAAAATTCATTTCCTGCCTCATGAAAACTACGTTTCCATTATAAATATTGTGCTGCTTAAGAAAATAATCACTGTTTATTCTGAGTATCACATAAAACAGATAAATATACTGTGGGGGGGACAAACTGTAGAGTTCTTTTAAGCTTTAAACAAACGGTATTTACAGAGCGTCTGATTATTACATGCCATATTTTACAGGATGGTTTCTGGATACCAAACTAAGCAAAAAAAAAAAAGTTCAAAGAATGTGTACCTACAAAGCCTGACTGGCCTCTAACAGCCAGGTATGAGGGGAGTACAGTAAAATAAATTAAACTGATGAATGTCTAAATAATACTCCCTTCTGTGATATGAGACCATGCAGTCTGGCATCTGAGAGGAATGTACTGCCTCCACCTTCCAGGATGATGAGTAAAGCATGGGAAAGTGGTACAGATATAACCCGAGGAAGGCGCCTTGTATGGGGCAGATGAATGAGAGGACTGAAGGCCCTTAAATAGACCTGAAGATGGAGGTAATACATTTTTCTTTAACATCTGTACACTTCTACCAGGCTCCCTGGTGTCGCATCCGAAAGACAGCATTCTTCATAGTTGTCACCATGACAGCCTTAAATGTGATTAGTGTTTTTGAAATTAAAACAGGGAATGACTGCCCAAGTACATCTCTAAGAATAACATTCATAAGTAAAAAAGTAAAGCTATCCCTGTAACAGGCTGTGAAGGCCCATAGGGTTGTGAGACGTTGAGGGTCCCACATTATGAAAAAAAAAAAAAAAATCTAACACAACTAAGGACAGCATTATTCCACAAGCACCTTTCATTTACTGGACTGCGCTACTCTATTTACTAGATCCAAAGTCGTTAAAACTTCAGCTACAAATTTAACTTACTAGAAAGTAATTGCTGACAGCGGATTTGCTGAGGCTCTGGGATGAGGAATCTCTCTCGTCTTCAGGCCAGCATCCATCTTTGAACGTATATGCTGATTGTAAGAACTTTCTCAGGACTTATAGTAGCCCTGACACATTCCAAGCAGAACAAAAACCAAGCATGTAAGATCAGAGTAAAATTAAGAAAACACTATTGTGTGTAATAACTTGCTTCCACAGCTGCTTCTCATACCACACAATGGCAATGATGAACATGCACAAAGACAGAGCTGTCAAGCTCATATTTTAAGTGATACAAAACAAGATAAAAACTTCCTTCCTCCTTCAGAATTGCATAACCCAACTAACCTTGAAAGTTTCTATTGTAGTCCCACAGCAGTAACTTTATCTTGAAACCTGACATTTATACTTATGTTAGATCACGTTCAGAGACAAAAACTTTACATATAATGTACTACATACAACAAAAACATATACTATATGCTTAAAATATCTGAGTTTGAATGGCCAATATGGTGAATGTAATGGTTCATTTGACGACACTGGCAACAGACAGAAGACTATGTAGTGTTGAGCATTTGAGTGATTAATGAATAATGAATTGGAAAGGATATGGAAGGAAGTGGCAATGACCTAATTTCATGTACTATCCTGGAATTTGCTTGAAGGGACTGAGGAAAACCATGGGTAACCTCAGTCTCATTAGCCCATATCTGGACCAAGATATGAGCCTGGGACCTCCTGCATTTGTAGCATATGTACTAACCACACAACCACAACATTCAGTTTCCTTATGCACTGTTTGATTTTATGTATGAATATGTTTTGTATAACCTCAGAATGTAATGAAGTGAATCTCATACCAGAGGATCTTGACTGACTGATACTGAGTTATTTAAGCACAGTGCAATCCCATCTTACATGGGGGTTATATTCTAAAGATGGTCTGTAAACCCAAACTCACATACAATGAGAATTACCCTTGGAAACCCCCTATATCCCTCATGAAGTACACACTTTTTACATACCCTGTAATATGTATGTGTATATATATATATATATAATGTACACAATAAAGAGTACAAATTCAAGTAACATGTTCAGCAATTTTATTTTTAATTACATAAGAACTAGAGAGAGATGGAAAAATGAGAGAATAAAAAAGGAAACCAGTAAAGCTGAACACTCGCCATTCATCCTGAATATTCTGATGATCAGTCTGGCTCTTCCCCTGACGACACTACTTCGGGGCAGTCAGAACTTGATATGCTCACTGAGTGCCACAACGCACAGAGTAACTTCACTATTTCAGTTTCAATTTCTTTAAATTTTTTCTTTTAGACAAGTCCTAATGGTTGATGGCACAGTCAGTATAGTGACTAGCCATGGGCTGGATGACCGAGGGGTTGGAGTTCGAGTCCTGGTATGGTCAAGAATTTTCCTTTCCCCATGTCGTCCAGACCAGCTCTGGGGTCCACCTAACCTCCTATCCAATGGATACCAGGGGCTTCTTCCCCAGGGGTAAAGTGGCCGGGGCATGAAGTTGACCACTCACCTCCAGCTAGTGCCGAGGTCAAAAAAATGTAGATCTATACATCCACTTCCTCATATGCCTTCATGGCATAGTGCTTAATTAGTTAAGCATAAGGACAACTTTACCTTTTACTTTACCTAATGGATTAATCTGTGTAAGTTAAATGCGTGTATGACGTGACTCCACTGTACAATTTTTCAAGAGCATCGGTTATACAACAACACTATGCTACAAGCCAGAAGGTCATGGGTTTGTTTCCTGAGGTCATTGGATTTTTTAATAGACCTAATCCTTCCAGCTGCACTATGGCCCTGGGGTTGACTCAGCCTCTAACAGAAATGAGTACCAGGAATTTTCCTGGGGGGTAAAGAGTGGCTGGTGTGTAAGGCTGACAACCTCGCAACCATCTGTAAGCCAACTATCTAAAAAACGTGGGAGCCTTGACGTCTCACAACCCTATGGGCCTCCACATCCTCTTACAGGGATAGCTTAGACCTTTTACCTGGTTGCATAGCATTAAATGGAAGGAGGGTTGCATGGCAAGAATATGACAGTCTCCAAACTGTAATTACAACCCAGTACCCTCTAAGCACCAACTTAACCAAAGTGTTCAGTCACAGTTCGTAACAATAACTGGAATCATGATGCAGCAGTTGTTAAGCTTTTCCATGACAGAAGAGGACTGCAAATGTGAAGAGCTTCTTGGAAACATCCCTCATGCTGCACATGACAGTTTGACCAGCTATAAAGTTCTATTCCATGCAGGTTAATCGATCTATGACAGAACACAGATGCAGTTGCAAAATTTCTGAACCTATCTTGGGGCAGGTTTCCTTCAACTGAATTAGCATATCTTCATGGACAGAAAACAGTCATTTAGGGATAAGAACTTCATGAAACGACCCTGTTTTAAGACAATGATAGCATTACAAGACTACATAATCAAGATTTTGATTAAATATGTAAAAAAAAAAGAAGGTAAAGCTGTTCCTGTAACAGGCTGTAGATGCCCACAGGGTTGTGAGATATCAAAGCTCCCACATTTTCTAGACAACAGACTCAGGAATCTTCCTGGGGGTAAAGGGCTGCCAACACACAAGGCTGACAACCTCACCACCATCTGTGTGCCGACTGGCTAGAGAAAATATGGGAGCCTCCACATCTCACAACCCTATGTCCCTCCACAGCCCATTCCAGGGATAGATTACGACTGAATACTTATGGATATTATTACATCTTATTCTTCTAATTAGCAGTTTTTCTTTGCAGTGTTCTGCATGTGCATGCAGCTTTACATTTGGTGGTTTGACTTGGTAAACATTTTCTCAGTTACAACATTCAATTTAATTTTAGGTTTCTCTTTACAAGTAATAATAGGGCAATAATGATGGTACATACATCAAACAACTTGCATCGGCCCCTGGTTTCATTTGCTTGATACTTCACTCAGAACAGGCCCTCAATTAAAAATCATAAATCATGCAATAATTTACGAAAACAAATAAAACTTTGTAAGGTACACAGGGTGGACAAAATAAAAAAAAATTGAGGAAACGAACCTGTGTTTGCTACATTGAGAGAACTTCAGATGGCAACACTCAATGTTCTTCCATTTGTTTATACTCTGTACTGCTTGTGTCAGTGAATTAGTGATTGTGTTGAGTAACAGTCCTTGTGAAAGAACTGCAAACTGGGAGACTTTTCTAATTTTGAAAGAGGACAGATCATTGGTGTGTGTTTAACTGGAGCATCTGTGATGAAAACTGTCACATTATTAGGTGTATCAGGAGTGACAGTTTCTATGGTTATGTCAGAATACACAAATCATGGGAAGTCAACATCAGTGAAGAGGAACACTGGGCAAAACTCAACATCAACTGAAAGAGACTGCTGTACACTGAGGATGAATGTTTTCAAAATTCACAGAACTACTGCAGCACAGGTGACAGCAGAAATGAATATTCATCTTAAAGACCTAATTTTCACAAAAACTTTCTGATTTGAGCTTCACAAATCCAACATCCACAACTGCTAAACCTCTGATTACTGAAAGCAATGCTCAGGTGCTTAAACAATGGGATCACAGCCATAAAACTTGGACATCAGACAACAGGAAACGCTTGTGTGCTATGGTCAGATGAGTCATCCTTCACACGGTTTCCTACATCACGAAGAGTTGTAGAACATCCAACGAAGTCCTACAATCCAGAATGCCTGTTTCCAACAGTGAAACACAGAGGAGGTTCTGTGATGGTTTGGGCAGCAATATCATGGTACAGTATTCTGCTGGTCCCATCCCATGATCCATACATTATTCCTGAACAATGATGCAGTTTTCCAAGACAATAATACCCCCATTCACACAGCTGAAACTTTCCTGCCATGGTTTGAAAAGCATGGATGTGAACTTCAACATCTTCCCTGGCCAGAACAATCACCAGATCTGAACATCAATGAACCACTCTGGTCAGTTTTGGAGACTAGAGTGAGAAACAGATTTCAACCTCCAGCATCTCTAAAGCAACGTGAAGATACTCTTCATGAAGAATGATATAAAATTTAGCTACACACTGTTCAAAACTTGTATATGTCCATTCCAAGAAGGACTGCAGTTATAATGAAGGCAAAGGATGGTCCAATACCATGTTAATAAAGAAATGTATACAGTATCTGTAATGTTTCCATAATTTTGTTCAATCCCTCTCTATGCACCTCAGCAGATGTGGAGGTAATTTCATGACAGATGTTTAAATGGGTTTCCTTCTGCCTGGGGATGGAGATGGCCCAAGTGCCATCATTTTGACAGCTCTGACTTGTAAAATTACTCCTGCATCAGACTCAGATCCAGCATGAAAGTTCTGTAGGTAGCCCAATTCATAACAACGATTTAAAAATTATGATAAAGAAGGAACTGGACACTGCCTGATATCCACACCCCATTTGCCAGATTATGGTATGTAGTTGTAGTGATTTACAGACTTTTTGATATAGCGCCCCCCCCCATGGTCTTTGTCAAGCCATCATCCACCCTCTCTCATTATTTTATTTAAACAAATGGAAACTATTGCACCTACATTACACCTTCTTATTGTTGTTTAAGATCAATACATAATTAGTACTAATTGTCAGTAAAAAATTCAAAATTCTCAAACAGAACTGCTGCACGGTGCTCTTTATTTCACGCCGAATTATGCTGATAAATATTCAATAATCATTCATTTTTTAATATATCTGTATTAACAATTCTGATGGGTGCTTTGGAAATTAAAGGTAACTATAGAGAATTATTTCTGCTGAATTTCCTCACGTGCTCTCAATTTCAATTTTAATGTTTAGCTAATATAAATATGAATTGTCATTAATGGCTGTGACAGACGTAGACAGCCTTACAGCAGTTTCAGATCCATTCATCTGTAAATTATAGAAATAGGCTGTTTGTTTTCGGTAATACTTGTTAGGGGCCTATACACAATCAATAACTTCTGTATATCATTTTGGCAATGTATGATGTTCATAATTCATAATTTTATTTACATCCATAACTGTAAAATATACAATCGGATAAAGTCAAAGAGAATATATAGTATTTTGAATTGTTAATTTGTGTGAATATATAGATTTAATAACAATCACACCTAACATAATCAAAGAATACATAAATACTTAAATAAATTATATAATGTTGACGTGCTGTGCAACATTGAGAGTACATGGTGTTGATGTGCTGTGCAACAGTGCATTGTATCAACGTGTCTGATATTTTTAGCGCAACGGGAAATGTTATACAAAACCTTAAACTGTCACTGGTGTTTGCACAACCATATTCGGTCTTGTCCCTGCTGCGATGGCATTCACACCTACCAACAGCGCTGCAGAGGATTTAATAAGACGTGTAGGCGCCGGAACAAGTCCATGAAATAACAGAATACCGGTATAAACAAGTTCACGACATTCGATAATGTAATCTGAGTTACGTTACTTGTGATACATACACTTATTCATACTTAAAATGTAGTGATGCACCACAAAAAGTCACGTCACGAGCTACACATACTTCGTACTTACGACCGCTTAGGACTAAACCAGTACAAAGTCACGTGGCTCCAACTTACACTTCTCGTTTACGCCCCCATCTCACATCATTACGGAGATCACGGACCGTCACGGACCATCACGGACATTACGAGCATTACGAGCAAGTACAAATGAGAATCAACCTACGGTGCCGATGTTGACTAATCGAGGTTGTTATCGATCGCTGATCACTATGATCGATTCAGCATCATCTCTTGCTATTCTACTGCCGCCTGTAGGTTAGGATTGCTAATACGTGGCTGTAGATTGTGGTAACCGTAGCTAAGTAGGTAATAATTGAAGTAATTTAGGTAGATTTAAAATTTCTGTGAGCGTGCCCATTCATCAGCAATGCAGATCGTTACACAATAGAAAGAAAGTTACTAGATTCTTTTTATCAACATATTGTAATGTTTATCTAATTCTGAAGCAGTTACAGTCACAATCTTGACATCAGTTTGTGCTGCTACTACATTTGTACACTGTTGCATGATTCTATTCATATATTGTCAGTACAGAACTCGCTACTTTCACCACACGCCAATGATGAACTTTTTTTGCTATGTCCAGATTCAAATGTGCTGCTTATCCTTGCTTCATAACTGTGGTTTTATGCAGATTATATAATAAGTCTAGAAGAATCCAGTACAGTAAAAAAAGTAAAGCCATCCCTGTAAGAGGCTGTGGAGGCCCATAGGGTTGTGAGATGTTGCGGTTCCCACATTTTCTAGACAATCGGCTCATAGATGGCGATAAGGTTGTCAGTCTTATGTGCTGGCAGCCCCTTACCCCCAAGAATATTCCTGGTACTCATTTCTAAACTTCACTGGCATATTTACATCAAATATGAATAATATGAGCGCTACAAATTAGCTTGAACAGCTGTTATCGTGTAAATGCTGGTACACAGATTTCTTGTTCCGAAAATTCACATTCGCATTATCAGCAGAGTATCAGTTTAAATTATCATAACTAAGGCTAAAATGCTGAATACTCTCTTTCAAACATTTGTGATTTGAGCTAGAGCTTCATCTGGTTGTCATACAGAATCCAGCAATTTCCACCGGATGCCTTCAAATATATCAAAGTAGCAGACACACACTGGAAATGTTTTTCTGTGTCCTCTATTAGATTCACAGGTCATGACTCAGTATTCTCAGTATTTCTGAAAAGTCTGTAAATACTAGACGTCAGATCACGGATGGATGTGTGTGTGTTCACGCACATGTATATGTGTGTACACACCTACATACATATGAAAATATATAAAGGGTATATAATACAGTGCAATTGTTCTGTAATTAAAAATTTATTTTCAACTTTACAAAATAACAATCATATACAAAAATACAAGACATTCCTTGATCTTGCGATTTAAAATACTGATTTCACAGCTCCACATGCTTCTGGGCCAGATAGTCTGCTTCCATTTGCTGGTCGACTTTAGAAAACCACTTCTCATACACTCTGAGAGGATCAACCATCCAGTGCTTATGAAATGACACTGGCAACTGTGGGTTCAAGTATTCTGGAGCATAGTCCAATGGACGTGCCTAGTTAATGGAAGGAGAACAGGCAATGAGCAATATTTCCATACATTTGATTTATAACACCTCATCATCCATAAAGAATTTCTGGTAATTTTCTTAATTGTTTCAATCTTCCCAACCCTCACACACCAAACTATAACAATTATCATTTATCACACCCTTTGCATTTGGCCTTGCTCAGTCATCTCACTGTCAACACCAACACCCTCACTACCTATACATCACTCTCTGAAATCATAAACTTAGAATCTCATTACTATTTCTGTCCTTCCAACTCCATCCTTACTTCCTTGCCCCATGACAATCTCTCCCTCTTGCTTTCACTCACTCTCTCTCCCTGTCTCTTTCCACTACCCCTCTACCCTCAAGATATCCCTGATGTCCCTCCCACACAACCCCCTTCTCTACAATCACTGTCACTCTCTCACCACCCTCTCCCTCTCCTTCACTTCCTTGTCTCCTTACTCTGCCCACTTCACCCTCCCCCCAATCTATTATTTCTTTCTCCTGCACTGTCCCTCACTCACACACCATTCCCCTGCCTTTCACCCCCATTTTCCTTGTAAAGGTATAGTAAAGCCATCCCTGCAACAGGCTGTGGAGGCCAATAGGATTGTGAGATGTTGAGGCTCCCATATTTTCTAGACAGTTGGCTCACAGATGGCGGTAAGGTCGTCAGCCTTACATGCCGGCCACCCTTTACTCTCAGGAAGATTTATGGTACTCACTTTTGTTAGAGGCTGAGTCGACCACAGGGCCATAGTATGGCTGGAAAGAATAGGTCAATTGAAAAATCCAATGAGCCCATTGAGGATCGAACCTTCTGGCTTGTAGAACAGGGCCTGAAACACCTACACTACTGCGTGGCCCCCCCTTCTCAGTGTACTTTTACTATCTCAGTCTCTCTTCTTTCCTCTTACCCCACTCACCAATCACCTACCCTCAGCTCTTCGACCTCACTCACAACTGTCCCTCTCCAAACCTCTTTACGGTGTTGTCACTCCCTGCCTTCCTCCTTTACTCTCACTTTCAACTTGCTTCCATGAATGCCATATATCCTCAAAATTCTACCTCCCTCTCTGCCCACTTTCCCCTGCTGCTCCTCTCACAACTTCCCCTCTGGCAATCCAGCAGCAGCAGCATGAGCAGGACATTCATAGCTGCAAAACTTAAAACTTGCACCTGGAGGAGAAGGAGCAGAGCTACAACAGAGGCAGATGAATAAAAAGGAACAATTACTGATGATAATCTGGAGCACAGGAGAATGATCACCTGGTGATGTTTCAGATTGGAGAACACATTTAGACAATGATATCAATGGAAGGATGAGAGGGTTGGTGCATTACTAAATATAAGCTCAATTTGAATTTTGGCTGGAAAGAGCTAACCTCAACCACTGAACCAGTGTCACTGGTTCACTGCCCAGAGATTGAGGATAGTTCTTTCTAAGGGACTCAAAAGAATAGGTGCCTCTGACCCCATTACCTGAGGATGGAAACATATTCACTTTCTGAAACACTGTATTCTTTAGAATACCAGAACAAAGTCCAAAAACCTAGCAGTCCTGAATGCCATACACCACTATCAGAACCCTTTAGAATCAATCCTCCCTTAATGTCAGAAACCAGGCTCCACACCTATACAAAACAATGCCAAAATTATAATTCTGTATATTTATCTTCATGTTTCTTGGCAAGAGGCATGAAGACAAAAGATTATAAACTGAATGGCAGGAAGTGTTCCCTGAATTTAATTTGGTCTTTAATTTCTTTGTCAAGCAGCAACAGAACATACCTGATGAAAGAGCGGTGAATGGGTTATTGTTATACCAAGCCTGGCTAAACAAATCCCGAGGAACATGTCATCCGGAGTTGAATCTGATGGACACTTGCAGTAGGTGGAGCCTGTGATCTGACGCACAGTGGCCATGGAGAAGACCATTCCTCCACCCCCAGTTATGTAATTGTAGCCTTGAGGTGAGCGCTGCACATTGTAACCATACCTCTCGCCAATAGCAAATGGCTTGCTTGGCTGAAAACAACTTAGTAACTGCCGAAGCCTTGCAACACTGTAAACAGGAATAATAATAAATTCAACAGATTTATACAAATTTAACCAAAAGAAAAAACAGAACCAGCTTAAACTCCTCTACATACATCAGTGATATAAAGACTGCAGTGTAAATGCAAATTATAGTTACTGTGTTGATAAAAATCACAAAAAAAAAATACACCATTTCTGATCATGTTGTCATGTGCAGGAGTGACTATAAGTGGGCTTTTGGGCTGGATATTGCATTTATTGAACACTTCAACACTCAACTGGTAAATTCCACTTAAGTATAGCATCATCACTAATTTCCTTACACTTGACAAATCACATGCTATGCTAAGTCTTTTCAGCCCGCAGTGTCTTCACTAGTAGTTGCCTGGTAATGGCTTCTAACAATGGCTAGCCCTCTGCTTCTGGGCTGAGGTCCTCTCTGAATGGCGGCTCCCTTCTAACTGCCTATTCTTGCTCCAGTTATCCCCCCTCCCCCAACAAGGACCACCACAGAAAACCCTTTTTCCAATAGTACCTCTATTGTTGCATGCCATGGGGATGTGTTTACCGAGCCGTTCCCTAGCAGCGGTCGTCTATTCTTGCTTATTTAAATCTACTGCCTAGCAGCAAATGTTGTTTTGTGTCTTGTAATCTAACATAGCTTCTGGCCATTGGTGATATTTAGGTCAAACCTGAATTTCAAATCCATGCCCCACATCAATTTAACCATGTCAACCCAGCTGGTAAAACCCTGCCTGCTTTTCCAGACAACTGCAGGTAGCTCCTTCTACAAGGTACTGGTGCAGTTGAGATGACATACCAGAATGTATCAGTTCCGGGAGATTCTCTGCTCAATAAACATGCTAACAGAAAGGGGAGGAAGGCAGGGCTACCAAGCACTGCACTATAAAGAGGTGAAGGAAGAAGCTTTGCCAATACTGTTTCGATCAAATGCTGAAGTTAAGAGTTTGTGGAGTTTACCTCTGCTCCTCTGGATGCTTTCACAGTAGTGTTCTAGACTTATATCTGGGAGGAGATAAACTCTTAATGGGATAGAAACTATCCTGATTCAGGAGTTTTGTGGTTTTTCTCAGTCCCAGGCAAATTTCAAGATAGTATCTTACATTAGTATGTATAATGTAATGTATAATGTATAAGTTATGTATAATAGACTACTTGAACACTTAAATTCTAACAACATATTAGTCAAAGAGCAATTTGGATTTAGGAAAGACCTAACAACAGAAAAAGCAACCTATGAACTAACTAACGATATTTTAAGTGCTCTCAATGACAGATTAATTGTGGGAGGGATTTTCTGTGATCTAGCAAAAGCTTTCGATTGTGTTAATCATGATATCTTACTATCGAAATTAAATTTCTATGGAATAACTGGCAAAGCTAATGAATGGATCAAATCATACCTCAAAAATAGGTATCAAAGAGTTGAAATAAATAATAAAAACTCCAGTCATAATGCATTTTCAAACTGGGGAATTATAAAGCACGGTGTTCCACAAGGATCAATTTTAGGTCCCTTACTTTTTCTTCTCTACATAAATGATCTATCTAAAACCATCAACAATAAATCTAAACCAATT